ACTACTTTTTTACTTTCTGTACTTCGAATTTTCTTTTTCTTTTGTAATATATGCTTCGTTCTTCTTTTGTTTGTTTATTAATTATAGTTTCTGACTATTTTTTTTGTATTCTTTTCTTTTATAAACGAACTCTTGAAAAAAACTTGCTCTGGGAAAAAAAAAAGATTGATAACAGACCCGCGCACTGGATTAATTCCTCAGCAGAATAATAATATACATACTTGTATTATATTATTTGTATTTCACAGTCTGTTAATAAATAAATAAATAATAAATGCACGAGTGCTTTCAGGGGCATTTCCCCAGAATATTATTCCATATTTTAGGTGTGAGTGCACATTTGCAAAATACATTGTTTGAAGTGTCTCAATGTTGGAGCTTGACCTGAGGGTGTATAGGGCATAGCAAGATTTGCTGAGCTCCTTGTTGAGATTTGAGATGTGAGTGTTTCATTTTAGGTTTTCTTGAATTGTTAGTCCGAGAAAGGTAGTTTCATGAGATATCGTTACAGGGTTATTGTTTATGAGCAAATGCTGTGAGAGTTTTTCTTTAAATCGAGGATTCATGAAATGAGTCTGTCTTGCTGGTGTTTATGATGAGTTTGTTGTCTTGAAACCATTTTACCAGTGCTTGCAAAGTTTTGTGTGTTTCTTTTTCTAATGATGTGTTTCTGCTTTGATGATGATGTTTGTGTCATCTGCAAACAAAATTATTTTGTTGTTCCTTACGAATCCGAGCTAGTTTCTACCAAACGAATTTGCGACCACAGAAACCAACGACGCTAAATTCCTTAAGTGTCAAGAGTTGATTCACTCGTACCAAGTTGTAGATTGTGATATCGTAACAAGATTTCCAACCGTTGGAAATTTGAAGTTTAGAAGTCATGTGTTCGTGCGGTAACACGAACTGTTCTAATTATGCCATATTGCATCGATTCCTAATATTTGTTTCGTTTTCGACTTTTTTTTTCTCGCGTAACGTTACGCCAAGAATTTGAATTTTCAAGTCTTGCGTTCGCGCTGTAATACAAATTATTGTGAGTACATCTTAATTCTTTGTATTCCTTATATTATTTTGGTCCGATTTTTATTATTTTTTTCTGCTCTCCCTCATGGGTGGAATGACATGCTTCGAAATCAAATTTTAAAATCACGCGTTCGCGCAGTAATATAAACTGTTGTGGTTACATCTTAATTCGTTGTTTTCCTAACTTGCACTGTTTTTTTTTCTCTATCTTTTCTCTCCTTCGGATTGCCGAGACACTTCGCTCAGAAATTTGGAATTTGCCAGGTATGCGTTTGCGCAAGGACCACAATTGTATTTATAATTTACATTCTAAACCTCGCGTTTAAGTTTGCTTCTGAGATTGTCTCCCACGTCTTGGATGAGGTTTCTTCCTTAGAACTTAAGTTTACAAATCGTGCATTTGGGTGAATGCATCGTAATTACACCTTAAGTTCTTATTTTTGCTTTGGTCTCCTTCGCGGACACATTCACTTGAAAGTCGAATTCGCAATTCAAGAGTCTTGCGCGTTGATAATGACGAGTATAATTATATTTTAAGTCTGTCCATTATTTTTTTTCTAGGTATGTTCAAACGTGTCAATGGGAACATGATTCGCTCTATAAATGTTATAAAATTTCGCTTTTTGAATCTAAGGTAACAAGGTCATAAAGTGAATTTTATAGAAAACGCATTCGAATCACTTTCAAATCTCGCTTCTACCGAGTTATTTCTTTGACATCCCATTTTTATGCTTTTGGATCGCTGTGTCATTTTCTCATTTGAACAGAGCTAGCAGATGTATTTAACCCCTGCGTCTCGTTTTTTGTTCAAACTTGTCAAGAAAGCCGACAACCAAAACATGACAGAACTCATCACTGCCTCAAAACGTTAACCATCCTAGCCCGCGGCGTACTGACCATTCAATTCTGGGCCTGGTTCGATTCTCATCGGGGGCGGCAAGTGTTTATGGGCACCAAAATTAATTCATATTTGGCGCCTATCTCGAATGTAAACAATTATAACCATTCTTTGGGGTGAATGAACAGCAAAGAGCGTACATTTTAAACGCCCCGCACTGAAAATTATTTTCCCATAAAAAACAGCAGATTGCATTTCGGAAGAAAAAATAATTTGCATAAGAATATTCGTTCGAAGTACTTCAAAGATGCCTATGACAGCGCACCACATCAAGGACGACTGAAGCGACCGCTGCAGCAAAATCGTCTATCGTCGTCATTCGAAGGCGTTGGTTCCTTTCCACTGAGAAGCCGCGGGCGCACGTTGACTTGAAAGCCAGCAGCTGAGGCATCTGGGTGGCGGATTGCACAGAGTCGAGCCATTTATGTACGGTCTGTGTCAAGGTTTTGAAAGTGTGGCTCTGTATTCCCTATGCTTCCGCTTTTTTGGAGAGCCAGCACAGAGCAAATACTACCTGGTGCGTACCAGTTCATACTCGCATAAATAATGGAATAAAACAAGAAAGGTGATCGATTTCCTTTCGCCCAGGCTCACGTAACACTGATCTTTTCTTCAATATTAAATGTTAAAAGCAGATTCTAAAGCTAAGGTGTGCCGACAATCTTCATATTTG